CCAAGATGCTATGAAGATTCACATGCAAGTCTTTGTGTAGACACGTATATTTGTGCGCTTTTTAGTCATTGGAATATCTTTTTTTTGGTGAAATATCTACTCAAATCTTTCACCCATTTTAAAATTAAGTTGTTTGACTTTCTATGATTGGATCATAAAAGTTTGTTATGTATTCTAGATACAAACACTTTATCAGACATGGATCTGCAAATATTTTCTCATCGTCTGTGATTCATCTTTTTTTTAACAGTCTCTTTTGTAGGGCAAATGTTTTTAATTTTTGGTGAAGCCAATTAATTGCTTATTTTGGTAACATATTGTCCTTTTCATGCCATACTTAAGAGCTCTTTACCTAATCCAAGGCCACAAAGATTGTCTACAATGTTTTCTCCTAGAAATTTTATAGTTTTTACTCTTACTTTTAAGCCTGTGATTCATTTTGGGTTAATTTTTGTACATGTTGTGAGGTAAGGGTCTAAACTGATTTTTCTGCATATGGATATCGAAATGTCCTGGCGATATTTGTTGAAGACCATTCTTTCTTAACTGAGCTACCTTAGCACCTTTGTGAAAAATCTATTGACCATAAATGTTAGGATGTATTTATGAACTCTTAATTCTGTCCCATTGCTTTATACATCTACCTTTATACCAATAGCACATTGTCTTGATTACTGTGGCTTTGTGGTAAGTTTTGAGGTCAGGTAGTTTGAGTCCTCCAGCATTGTTCATCTTTTCAAAAATTGTTTTGGCTAATCTAGGTCCTTTGCATTTCACATACATTTAGGATGGGATTGCCAATTTCTACAAGAAATCCTACTGAGATTTTCATAGGGATTCTGTTGAATCTATAGGTCAATTTGGGGAGTGCTGCCATATTAATAATAGTGTGTCTTTCAATTCATAAAAATGGAGTATGTCACCATTTATATAGATTTTTGATTTCTCTGTAATCCTTTGTACTTTTAATGTACGAGTCTTGTAGTTCTTAGTTAAGTTTATCCCTAGGTATTTTATTATTTTGTATACTATTGTGAATGAAACTTTTTAAATTTCATTTTTGGATTGTTCATTGTGCATATGTAAGAAATATGTCAGAAATATTTATATTTTATATATTGATCTTTTATCCTGAAACATTTGCAGACCTAGTACCAGTATGTATATGTATATATGCTATATATATGTAGAAAGGTTTTCTACATACTGGATCATACTGTCTGTGAATAAAAACAAAGTTTTACCTCTTCTTTTCCAATCTGTATACAATACATTGGATTGTTCTTTCCAATCTGTATACAATACATTGGATTGCTCTTTCTTGTTTTCTTTTATTGACCAGAACCTGCAGTACTACACTGAATAAGAGTGGTTAGAGCAGATCTCCTTTGGTTTTCAGCCTACACATGTCTTTGAATTGAAAATGTATGTTTTATAGACAAAATATAATTGGATTTGCTTTTTGAATATAGTCTGAGAATCTGTTATTTTGACTGAAGTATTTATTCCATTCACCTTTAATGTAAGTATTAATATGGTTAGAATTAAATGTGTCATTATGTTATTTGTTTTTCATATGCTTTGTGTCTTTTCTGTCCCTCTGTTCCTCCTTTACTCCCTTCTTTGTGTTAAGCAAATAATTTTGTATGGTATTTTAACTCATTGGTTGATTTTTAAACTATAATTTTGGGTTATCATCTTAGCATTTGCTCTAGGAATTACAATATGCATTTTAACATACCACAACACACCTCAAGTGAAAACTAATTTAATCCAGTAAAATACAGCAACTTTCCTCCAATCCAGCTCAATTTCCTCCCTACTCTACTCTCACTTTTGTGCTATTAGTATCATACATTACGACATCTATTTATATTTTAAACCCCAAAATACAGGGGTTTTTTTTTGCAAATTATACCATTTAAAGAAATAATAGAAGGAAAAGTGTATATTCATTAAGTCTTTTACAATTACCCATATGTTAATCATTTTCAGTCTTTTTCATTTCTTCTTGTGGATTCAAGTTATCAACTGGAGTAATTTTCATTCCCATCCCATCTTGAAGGATTTTGTTTAGTATTTTTTGTAAGGCAGGTCATTAGTGATACATTATCTCAGTTTTTGTTTATCTGAAAATGTCTTTATTTCACTTTCCTTTTTGAAAGATAATCTTGCTGGATATAAAATTATTGGCTGACAAATGTTTCAGTGTTTTGAATATGTCATTCTACTGCTTTCTGGCCTCCACTGTTACTAATGAGGATTTAACCATGATTCGTACTAGTGTTCTCTTACAGATTAGTTTTCCTCTTGCTGCCTTCAGGATTTTCTCTTTGCTTTGTGATTTCAGCAGTTTGATGTGACTAAGTGAAGATTTCTGTGGTTTTCCTACTTGGGGTACAGTGGGGTTCCTAGATCTATAATGTTTTTCCTCAAATTTGGGAGGATTTGAGTCATTATTTGTTCAACTTTTATTTTCCTGCCCTTTTCCTCTCCTCTCATTTTGAAGTTGTTATGGTTGATGCTGTCTCATAGGTCACTGAGACTGCCCACTTTTCTTCAATCTTTTTTTCTCTTTGTTCTTCAGATTGGATAACATTCTATCTATCTTTAGTACTGATTCCATACAATCTTTTTTTTATTTTGTTATTGCATTTTTCAGCTCTAGAATTTCCATTTGGTTCTTTTTTAAAAATTTATTTCTTTATTGATATTCCTACTTGTTGAGTCACTTTCATAATATTTTCCTTAAATTATTTAAGCATGATTTCCTTCAATTTTTTAAACATATTTAAAATAGTAGCTTTGAAATCTGCCTGTTAAATCAACATCTAGAGTACTCAAAGACCATTTCCATTGACGTCTCTCCTGCCCTCCACCCCAACCCTTAGTATGGATAGTACTTTCTTCATTTTTTTTTCTATGACTCATAAAATTTTATTGAAAATTTCATATTTTAGATGATATAAGAACTCTGGATTCATTTTTCCTTTCATCCTCAGAGGGTCTTGGTTGTTGCTACCTTATATTAGTTTATTACTTGCCCGGACTTGATCTGCAGAATCTGTTACCCTTCAGTGTGCATCTGCTGATATCTCTATCAGTTTTTTAAAAAATTCTTATTTGTTGGCTGGACATGGTGGCTCACACCTGTCATCCTAGCACTTTGGGCAACCGAGGCAGGTGGATCACTTGAGGTCAGGAGTTTGAGACCAGCCTGGCCAACATGATGAAACACCGTCTCTACTAAAAAAAATATATATATATATATATACAAAAATTAGCCGGGCATGGTGGTGGGCGCCTATAATCCCAGCTACTCAGGGGACTGAGGCAGTAGAATAGCTTAAACCCAGGGAGTGGGGGCTGGGAGAGTGGGCAGAGATTGCAGTGAGCCAAGATCCTGCCACTTCACTCCAGCCTGAGCGAAAGAGCGAAACTCCATCTCAAAAAAAAAAAAAATTCTTACTGTTTTTTTGCACAGGTGGAAGGGTTGGCTTCTTATGGGTCACCTTTGTGTCTGCACAGCTTAATGAGACTCAATAATTGGTCAGAAATTGTGTTCAAATACCATACTTTGCTGCTGGTGGATCTGTGATTGAAATGGGAAATGTATTCAAATTTGGGCCAGTTTTCATCTCTGCCCCAGGTGTTACATTAACACTGGGCCCTCTTGGGTCTCCACTGTGCATGCATACAGGTTCCTAGACAGGGATATGGAATGCTCGTCAAGCCCTCAATGCTAGCTCATTTCCATGACCATCCTGTTAAATTTCTGGTCATCCCAACCAGGATTGCAACTTCAGGTTAGGAAATCTGCAAGCTTTTCCCACTTGCTGCTGGCTGTAGGTTTCTACTCTTCACTTCAAATCAAGTGAAGGCCTGTGCTGTCCAGGTCAAACAACCATGTTGACTGGTGGAGGCAGTTTCAGCAAGAATGCCATATATTTCCACTGTGTTTACTTGAATCTCTATAGTTTCTTGAGAATATAAATTTCTCAATTTTTTTGCCCCTTGCCAATTTCCAGAGCCCTGAAATAATTGTGGTTTTTTTTTTTTTTGTTATTGTTTGTTTGTTTGTTTTTTGAGACAGAGTCTCGCTCTGTTGCACAGGCTGGAGTGCAGTGGCGCTATCTCGGCTCACTGCAAGCTCCGCCTCCTGGGTTCATGCCATTCTCCTGCCTCAGCCTCCTGAGTAGCTGGGACTACAGGCATCTGCCACTATGCCCGGCTAATTTTTTGTATTTTTAGTAGAGATGGGGTTTCACCGCGTTAGCCAGGATGATCTCGATCTCCTGACCTTGTGATCCGCCCGCCTCGGCCTCCAAAATGAAATAACTGTTTTTGACAATTTTGTCCAGTTTTATAATTGTTTTGCAGGGAGAGGATTTGTTAACCACTTCACTCCTTCCTAGCTGGTAGTCCCATCTATATACAGTATATTTCCAAAGAAATGGATTTTATTTTAAGCTTGACATCTTATTAACTTAGACATGACTGCATACTAATAAGTAAAGCTAAATTTAGAGAAACAGTGGTTTATTATAGTGTGCCTTTGACATTTTATGATCCAAAACAGAAAAGGTTTTTCAAAAAGCATTTTGAGATAATTCTTAAGCTTTCAAGCCTTTGATTTGAAAAGTCTATTTATCTGAATAGTAACAGTCTCATATTTTCATAGCAGGAAATTATTTCAAGCGTTTAATTTAGCAAGAAGCATATGAATGAACTGGAGCCTAAATTAAAGAATTCCAAATTTATTCCTGACCCTGGTTGTTATTGAGGGATAATACAAATATTTCCCTGGTGTCCAGTGAGAGATTGAAGGAATTTTGAGGTCATGATTTATATATTTGCCATCCTCTTTTAAATGGATTCAGCTGTGATGTCTGTGGCACCAGGAGAATTTAAGTGTCTGCCTGAGAGCCAGGACTCTGTCCATGTCAAGCTCTCAGCCAGACCACTTCCCTCAGATCCTTACTAGTTTTCTTCTTCTTTAGCCCATTCCAATGACCCCTGGTTTGGATGAGGACATAGGACGAGGGGCTGCAAGATCAGGAGCACATCTAGCTCTGGCCTCTGGGGCCACATGGTCACCTGGGGAGACTAAGACATCCAGGAGCCTGGAAGCAGAGCAAAGAGCCATCTCTGAAGAGGAGGAAGAACACATCGAAGAAGAAGGTTTTTCTTCAGGAACCACCACACACTTGCTTTCGGATGAAGTTTAAAGCCATTAAGCTTCCCCTCCTACTTAAAGCTCTTCTTCTCTATTTTTCCTGCATGCCCTGGTTTTTATCAGTGACAACACATTGTTCCCTAAGTCTCACTGTCTCCCAAAGAGGAGCTTCAAGGTTCATCTTTGTCTCCCCAAGTCTGAAAATATCAGATAATATGCTTGCAACTTCATCTTGATGGCTTAATTCCCGCTCCTGTCATTTACACTTCACTTCCCTGTTTTGTCTCCTTCATCCTGCCTTGCCCAACCCTGGGAGACTCTGTGTCTCCCATATTACTCCCCTGCTCGGGACCTGAATGACTCCCTACTGCCTGCCTAAGCCAGTTCAAGTTCCCCTGGTTTCCTGGGCCTTCCATAATCTGTCCTGGCCTTATCTACCCCCACTTACTTCCCAACTAGGAGGTGTTGTGGCCATGGCAGAGGAAGGGGTAAAAGACCAGTCATTCAGCCTTGTGTGACTATAAAGCAGTGTACCTATAACAAAAATTTCCTGCTTTTAGGAGCATAAAAATAAGTTTTACACAAAATCAATAACAGAAGCACTCAGATTGAAGCGTATTTTTAAAGGTATTGGTGGGAGTGATTCAGAGTCAGCAGACACAGGGTGTGGACATGAGCTCAGAATGGCTTCTCTGGAGCAAAATCTGTGATCCTGCAAAGCAAAAGCTGCCAGTCCTTTCTCATCACTATCCCTTTCCTGGTGTGACGTGATTATGGTCAGAACTATGTTCTCCAAAAGGATCCATTGAAGTCCTACCCCCAGTACGTCAGAGTGTGACCTTATTTGGATATAGGGTCATTGCAGATATAATTAGTGAAAATGAGGTCATAGTGTAGGCCCTAATTTAATATGACTGGTGTCCTTATAAGAAGAGGGAAGAGGCCGAATGTGGTAGCTCACGCCTGTAATCCCAGCACTTTGGGAGGCCAAGGCGGGCAGATCACCTGAGGTCAGCAGTTCGAGACCAGCCTGGCCAACATGTTGAAACCCCATCTCTACTAAAAAAACAAAAAAATTAGCTGGGCATGGTGGCAGGTGCCTGTAATCCCAGCTACCCGGGAGGCTGGGGCAGGAGAATTGCTTGAACTCGGGAGGCAGAGGTTACAATGAGCCGATATTGTGCCATTACACTCCAGCCTGGGCAACAAGAGTGAAACTCTACCTCAAAAAAAGAAAAAAAGAAAAGAAAAAAAAAAAAGAGGGAAGATGATGTGATGTGGAGACACAGAGAGAGGCCAGCGTGTGAAAATGGAGGCTGAGATTGGAGTTATGCTACTATAAGCCACGGAATACCTGGGGCTATCAGAATTTGGGAGAAGCAAGGAAGGATCCACCCCTAAGAAATTCAGGGAGGGCATGCCCTGATCATACCTTGATTTTGGACATTTAGTTTTCAGAACTGTGAGAGAATAAGTTTCTGTCATTTCAGCCCAGCCAGTTTGCAATGCTTTGTTACAGCGGCCCTAGAAAACAGATAAACATGACATGCATATTTTGTTAAAGTCTGTTCACTCTGACTTTGACTTCTACGTATCCAAGATAGCAGTCCCGTGTCTGCTTCCTGGGACAAAAGCCCACCTGCCCTGTCCTTCTCTCCTGGGCCACCAGGTCCTGCCATGTGTGGGTTTGAAGCTTTGGGAAGCAGGCACATTTAATAGATTGAATTTCATTTTTCCCACAACTTCTCACCCTCACAGAGGAGAGTATAACGCATGCTCACTGTGAAATCAGGGCTGTTCTTGGGCTCCTAGTGAAGTGCTATCCAGACCTGGCTCTGTGACTCTGTCTGAGGAAAACAGCAGGAGTGTGAGACCAGTGCCCTGGATGCAAAGTGCTGTCCTTGGGAGAGGCCAAGCAGCGATGGCTGACTGTTGATGATGGTGGCAAGCGACTCCATCTCTGGACTCTGTCTTGCCTTCTCCCCGAACCGTGCAGGGCCCTTGCACAGGCTGTTCCCTCTGCTGGGAGCTCTCTAACCTGGCTCCATCTCCTACTTTGTGCCTCGCCTAAGTGTCACCTTCTTCCCTAAGGGAGCAATGTTGTCTCCCCTCCCCATACGCATCCTCTCCAGCCCATTCTTTGCTTGTCTCAAAACATTCATTATTATTCCTCACTATTTTACTCGCTTGCCCATTTATGGTGAACTAACAGTGATGCCAGCTTTATCCCCCATTGGCCGCTACAGTCTAGTTACTCAGCAGCCAGAGAAATCTGTTGAAACTGAAGTCAGCTCACATCACTCTGCTGTTCAGAACCCTCTGAGGCTCCCCAGACCACTAATAGTAAAAGCCCAGGATCTTACCATGCCTACTGGGGCCCTTGGGTCCAGTCCCAGCTATGTCCCTGATGTATCACCTTGTTCATCACACCAATTCCTCAGTGCCACTGAGCAGGCCAGGTGCTCACCTGAAGTGGGGCCTCTGCCAGGGACACTGTCTCCCCAGATACCTGCACGGCCATCTCTTTCACTTCTTTCAAGTATTAGCTGAAATGTCACCCTCTCAGTGAGCCCACCTTGGCCACCCTATATTTTTAAAATTAAAGTTTTCATTGTGAGATAACTGTAGATTCACATGCAGTTGTAAGAATGCAGAAAGATGCCTGGTACCCTTTACCCAGCTTCCCCCAGTGGTAAATCTTGTAAACCTATGTACAATGGCGCAAACAGGATATTGACATTGATACAGTTAAGATACCAGGTATTTCCACCACCACAAGGATCCCCATGTCTCCAATTTGTAGCCAAACACTTTGCTCCTGCGCCAATCTCTCCATAAACCCTGGTAACCCATCACCTCTTCTCTATTTCTATGATTTTGTCAATCTCAAAAATGCTATAGAAATGGAACCATGCAGTATGCAGACTTTGGGGATGGACTTTTTTCACTCAGAATAAATCCTGGAGATTCATCAGGTTGTTGTGTGTATCCATAGTCAGTTTTGTTTTTATTGATGAGTCATATTTCATGGTATGGATGTACCACAGTTTGATTAACTATTCGCCAACTGGAAGACAGCTGGATTGTTTCTAGTTTGGGGCTACTATAGATATAGCTGCTGTGAAAATTCATGTGTATGCTTTAATCTGAACACAAGTTTCCATTTATGTGGGATAAATGCCTAAGACAACAATTGCTGGATCACCTATTAGTTGCATAGTTACTTTAAAAAAAAAATTTTTTTTTGTTTGGAGACAGGGTCTCACTGTCACCCAGGCTGGAGTGCAGTGGTGCCATCATAGCTCACTGGAGATCCGAACTCCTGAGCTCAAGTGATCCTTCCAACTGAGCCTCCTGAGTAGCTGGAACTACAGGCACATGCCACTGTACCTGGTTAATTTTAAAATTTTTATAGAGACTGAGTCTTGCTTTATTGCCCAGGTTGCTCGAACTCCTGGCTTCAGACAATCCTCCTGCCTCAGCCTTCCAAAGCATTGGAATTACAGGTGTGAACCACTGAACCCAGATCTACATATTTACTTTTTTTTTTTTTGAAACGAAATCTCGCTCTGTTGCCCAGGCTGGAGTGCAGTGGCGCCATCTCGGCTCACTGCAAGCTCCACCTCCCGGGTTCACGCCATTCTCCTGGCTCAGCCTCCCCAGCAGCTAGGACTACAGGCGCCCACCAGCACGCCCGGCTTATTTTTTGTATTTTTAGTAGAGACGGGGTTTCACCGTGTTAGCCAGGATGGTCTTGATCTCCTGACCTTGTGATCCACCCGCCTCAGCCTCCCAAAGTGCTGGGATTACAGGCATGAGTCACTGCGCCTGGCCCGTATTTACTTTTTAAGGAAGCTGTGGCTATTTTATTTTCAACTGTACTCTCCCTGGTCCCCAGCCCCTTCTCCAAACATCTGATACCTTTTGCCCTGCTTGCTTTTTAGAAGCACTGATGCAGACACCAGATATGAAGTCAGACCTCTGACCAGTGTTCCTCTATCAGGGGAAAGCTTGCTGGAATCACCAGCACACACAAAAGCCAACATGTCCACAAACAGCGTAATGCGGTGATGATGACAAGACAGAACCTGTGCGAGAATTCCCCAGCTGAAGCACTTTGCTAGATTTACAAGAAAATCACATTGAGTTCAAAAGTTAAGTTAGTGCTATCTTTCATGAAAACTTACCACTGCAGGAAAGTTCTAACTCCAGAAACACTCTTGATTTGTGAGCTGACCAAGCAGAGCTGTGGTCCAAGCAGAACCTCACCTCGCCAGCAGTGTTTCCAGGCACCCACCAGTCCCAGGGGAGCAAGACCTTTCGCAAATGAGCAGAAACATTCTAGTTAGAAACATTCCGAGACCCCTAGAGGCAGGGGAATCAAAAGAACTGTATTTCATGCCGAAAAGTGAAAACCAAATAAACAAAGTTCCCTGTCACAGGAACTGGTCAGCTCAGCTGTGTAAGTGAATGGCAAAAACATTCCTGGGCTCTGTAGAAGCCCCTGGAAGAAATCCAGAACCTTCTGTACTTAGCCTGACCGGGGGTGGTTGTTATTACCTAAATTTATTTATGACTTAACATATCGGCTCCTTTCATTTCAAACATTTGCTTGACATTTGTAGTGATTAGGTGAATGCTGGAAGAAGTGATTAAATGATATTGTAAAATAATATTTTGGCCTGACTCAAAATAGAAATATTTATAGTGTTCCCACTAATGCCAGATGATGTCAGCCCGATTATCGTGCTGCTTTTTAAAAAACATGCTAGGCTGAAAACAAAATTCACAAACAATCTAAAGTGAGCTGAGGTTCTAAGAGGCTTTGTCTCTCTAAACCCTCTTTCTGTCTGCTATTTGGCCCCAGCAGCAAAGCCCATGCGCTTCGATCAGTGTGGTGGATGTCAAGCACGGTGGCTCTGGGTGTTGGGAACTCACATGTCTCATTATCTGAAGAGGAAACCAAAGACTGGAGAGATGGCTTGAGTATCACTGAGTGCAGAGGTCTGTGTCTCCTCCTAGCCTTGTGCTGTGGGATTTGAAGGCCATAGTGCTTTCACTCCTGCAACTCCTGTTCCCCACTTTTCTTCCCTGCCTTTTTCTCTCCCCGATTCTTATCCCTCCTTTTCTTTTCCCTTCTCCTCCCACACTAAGCTGAATCCATTAAACTAACTAACTGAACCAATGAGGTCTCGGCCTAGAAGCATCAGCCTCTGTAGTGGAGACAGAGATACAAACTCAGTGCAATACACCGCCATGTCCTGCAGAGAGCCGCCACTCATTCCTGGGCAACTGGAGGAAGGAGAGGATGCCTGGGCCCAGAGAGTGGCCTACGCCAAGGTGCAGACCTCAGTGTTACTCTCCAACCCGAGCCCAAGCCTGCCCTTGCCCAGACCCACACCATACCAAGTGCCATCTGGACCTGTCCTGGCAGCCCTGGGCTTCCTTCTAGAGTATCATGGGAACTACAAGGAGCAATCACTGTAAAAAATCACTCTTTACAGTGTCTTAGGGAGGAAGGTGAGGGTCTGAGGAAGTTTCGTGGCAGGCTTCAACACAATCTCTGGGGAAGATGATCAATTTGTGAAAGAAAAGCCGAAGTCATTTCCAGGAAGTCTTCAAAGACTAAACTATAAATGCTTAGTGAGCAGTGCAGGACATGGATGGGAGGAAAGGCAGGTGCCTGCCCCGGCCTGCAGCCCTGGGTCAAGAACCACGGGGAACACCATTGTCTTCAGAGTCCATCAGAGGCCCCAGGGCCTGGATTCATGGGCCAGGCCATACTGGACCAGGCTCATGGTGGTTCCTGTGTTAGTCTGCCTGGGCTGCCTTATCAAAATACCATGGACTGGGATGCTTAAGCAACAGAAATTTATTTTTTCACATCTCTGAAGGCTGGAAAGTCCAGGATGAAGGTTCTGGCTGATTTGGTTTCTAGAGAAGGCTCTTTCTGCTTACAGACAGCTGCC